TCCTCGACAAACTTGAGCAAACGATAGAGAATGAGTTTCTCGAACAATTTGCTCAGCGCTGAAAGGAGGCTGATTGGTCTGTAGCTTGAAGACAATGTTGGATCCTTACCGGGTTTGCGGATTGGTATGATTTTTGCTACTTTCCAGATGCTTGGAAAGTAGTGCAGTTCCAAACATCTGTTGAAGATAGCGGTTAGAAGAGACTGCACTTTCATGCTGAGTCTCTTCAAGATCAAGTTGAATATACCGTTAAACCCGGGAGCCTTCATGTTCTTGGTGCATTTCAGCGCTGAGCAAATTTGTTGTACTGTAATCATATCCGCCGGAGGCACGACACAAGGGGAGGCATCTAGGTTTTGAACGCATTGCGCAACCTGATCATCGAGCGGACTTTGGAGAGTCGAGCCAAGCAAATGCGATGAAGCGACATGCTTGCCGATCACATTTGCTTTCTCCTGTGGGGTGATTAAAAGCCGATCGTCATCATTATCGACTCTGAGAGGTGGAACGGGTTTGGGATGAGTTTTCAGGACCTTGGCTACCTTCCAGAATGGTCTGGAGCGGTCGTCCAGATTCTGGACAACACGCCCGAAACTTTCATTTCGGAGTGAGTCCATTCTGGAAGCAATCTGCCTGTTCAGATCGGCCATTTCACGTTTTTTGCCCAGATCTCCAGTCCTCTGAAACTGGCGTCTACGAACGTTTCTCAGGCGAATCAAAAGTTGGGTGTGGGAATCAATGGCAATAAACTTACCCCTCACAGGAACTCGTCGGATGCACGCCTCGTCAGCAACGGTTATGGCTTGGTGGAGTCCCTCCAACGCTCGGTCGATGTCCTCCACGGTGTCGAGCAGTGGATTTTCATCCACCATTCGTCCGTACTGCACCCAGTTGACATGATGGTAGTCTTTACGCAGGCAGCTTCTAGCAGGAACCACGTTGACACCGACTTCAGTCACCACCGGTTGGTGGTCGGAGCTGAGATCGTTGTGCGCCTCCGGCTTGGATAGTACGATGTTTGACAGGAAAAAGTCCAGAGTGGACGGATTTCCCGCCGGAGAGATAAAAGTTGGTTCGTCCGAAAACTGCACAGTGTACAGTCCATATTGTGCGTGGTTGAACAATGGACATCCATTCCGGTTCCGCTGGTAGTTTCGCCAAGCTTCATGGCGGGCATTCAGGTCGCCCCCAACGATGAATCGGGAGCTAGTACGGGTGATGGCGGTCAGGTCGTTCTTGAATTGGATGCCTAGGCCGTTGCTTGTGGTACACTGGCGTGGGCAGTAAACAGCGATAAACCGGACGTTTCCAGTTGGTGATTCCACCTCCACACTAACGGCCTCGATGATAGAAGTGCGGACGTGGGGCAGAGTGCAGAACTTGATTCCCTTTCTGACGATGACCGCTACACCCCCCCCCCCCCCTGGAGCTGGTGCGATCAAGCCGGATAATGTTGTGGTCAGGCAACCAGAAGCTGTCGCCGGACTTTAGGTGGGTCTCGGTTAGAAGGCCCACGTCGATGCTGTGCTTGCGGAGGAAGTCGGCAAACTCAATCTGTTTTGCTTGTACAGAGCAAGCGTTCCAGGTAGCAATGGTTAGCGGTTTAGACACCATACTGGATGATGAACTTACCGAGCACTTGGATCTGTTCGGGTTTATTGCGGCACTTACGAAGAGCACCGGACATGTTGACGAGAATTTCCATCAGTTCATCCGCTGAGAACAGATCGGGGTTGTTGTTTTGCGCTGGTGGTTGTCTCCAGAATCCAGGGGGATTGGCCAGCAAAATCACCGGATGTTGCTTGAGCGGGATGCACCCGCGAATTCGCTTGCCTTTGCTGAGGAGCACGAAGAGGCGGGAAATCCTCCGTCCGAAATGCCGGGACTTTGTCCTTCTTGCGTCCTGGTTGGTTGTTAGTTGCCGCCTGTTTTCGGATGCGTTTGAAGTCCTCGCGTTTGGAGCACTGTCTGTCGGAACCTTGGTGAGCACCACCACAGTTGGCGCATTTTAACGCCACGGCTCCATCCGCAGGGCAGTCGGAAGTGGCGTGGTCTTGAGTGCAATTGCCACAGCGTGGCTTAATGTTGCAGTTGCGGGTGCCGTGTCCAAAGTTCAGACACCGTTGGCACTGAGTCACATCACGATGGCCGCCACGGTAGGGCTCCCAACGGACGATGATGGAATTGATGGAGCGGATGGCCTTCAGCGCGTTGAGCGTCACCGTTCCCTTCTGGAAGTGTACCAGGAAAAGGCTATCCGGATACGTCTTCACATTTTCGTCCTTCCTTGTCATCCGATAGACGGCACTTGGGGCCAGCTTGTACCGGTATCTGATTTCAGCTTCGATTAACTTATGGTCAAATTCAAAGTGTTTTTTATGTTACTTCATACGCGAAGTTAACGATTTTCAGAGTTGGTTGGAAATGCTAACATGAAGCTTTAGTGTGATGATTTATTAGCTAGAGAATGATCTTTAGAAGAATGTAGGTGGATAGTTCCGTTAGAGTACGGCAGTATGAAAATTGAATAGAAGTTGAAAATGAGCGAAGGGCCATTAAAGCGACAGTTTTCAAGATGACGCACATTTTTGCCTAGCCCGTACGATGTACGCGGGGACTTGAAGTATGTCTCCAAGTCCACAGGCTGGTTTTATGGTCAAAGTTTGGTAGGCCCCTAATGACGACCTTGAATGGCTTCTCACCGGGAATGTCGTGTGTGAAGAATTCCACCTTGGAAGTCCTCAGGTGGGCGACGACCAAGTCATACTCCGCTTTGGTACGGAGCACCACCTTGGTGCCGACTCTGCCCAACTTGTATTCGGCTTTAACGCCCAGCGTCGCTAGATCTGCGATGAGCTCATTAAGATGGGCATTTTTCACTACCAATGGAGGTAGCTTCACTTTTGCCGCACTCGGGCCGGCAGAATTTTCGTTGCCGATGGCGTCGCCGAAATCACCGATGTCGCTGGCGTTCGTCGCAGTGACATCGGACTGGCCTCGATTCTTCTTTCTCTTCTTGCTGTGTTTTTTCAACACAGCTGGCTGGATATTCCCATCCATGGGGAGAACAGCAAACCTGTTCGAGGTAGGCACACCGGAGCTTCCTTCACCGGGGTTTCCCCATTTCGGGGCACACACACACACGCACGGCGAAAGAGAGCGCGAACACTATCGCCACGAACTTTTCAAACAACTCGAGAGAGCGAGCTAGCACCGAACTGAACTGCTTGACGATCAAGCAGAGAATCCTGAGCAGAGGCAGGAGAGCAGCGCTGATTTATATCTTTTTAGGTTCAAGCAGAATGATGTGCAACCAAGTGGTATTCGTTTATGATGACTGGGTTTGGGAAAAAGGCTTATTTCATGAAAACAGTGATAAAATTATCATTTGTTCATTTTCAAAAGTTTAATTACAGAAAAATTGGAAAAATATTTATTTCAGCAGGTTTGTAATGTAATATCCTATCGATTGGCGTATTTGGATTTAAATTTCATGTTTAAATGACAATGTTACAAGCGTTCGAAACCTAACACTCCTTCACCACACATATTTTTTGATTTGCACCCCAGTATAGTCGACAAAGACGTAGTTCTACGTCAAAAGAGTATCATTTTTCTGAAGATAAGCTTTACATTTTTCGATAGGTCATTTTCAAAATACAGGCGCGATTTAAAGTGGTGATCTGAAGAGATCTGAAAATGCAAAATGGTATTTTTAGTCATGAGGAACGTTTTGACAACTTTCACCCAAATCAAATAATACGGAAAATAATGGATTTGCGAACTCGTCTAGAATCGCTCTATAGTGTGCTGTTACCCATGTTGGCTGGGATTGTCAAAGGCCCTAAATATGTTAGTGGAAAATACATGCACTTGAAATTTTGTATACTTTAAGCTAATATTAATTACGATTTTCATTTTTGTCGATGTTAACACAGGTTTTCCACGTGGAATAAGCACGGCCAATCATACCAACTCAGTGACTGAGAATAATTGACTCAGAGAATTTTCTCTCCATACGAAATTTACTCAGATTTGGAAGAAACTGCAGTTAATCATAGCTTATGAGTAACTGCAGTTTCTTCCAAATCTGAGTAAATTTCGTATGTAAAGTAAATTCTCTGAGTCAATTATTCTCAGTCGCTGAGTTGGTATGATTGGCCGTGAGTGTTGAAAAATAAAACAACACAGAACAAAACAACACAATGAACTCACGACCACCGTTTCAAACAAAAGCGTTTTCTTCTGTTTATGCCAATTGTAAAAAGCATAAAGTAAACATAATTAAAACACGTATGCGTTGTACAAGTTGATTACAACTTTTATTCGTAATGTTTTTTTTTTTTTAATTCTTTATTTAAGAGATTTTTAGCCTTAGGCTAGTTCATCTCTATTCGTAATGTTTTGTAATATTTCAATATAGTCTCGTATAGTAGATCAACCATAACAAAATGTAGCTAGAACATACCAAAAACCGTAACAGTAGAAAGTAGTGTTTTGTTTTTGTTTATTGCATTCCATAAACCATAACAAAACTATGTTGTATAAAGTTAGCATAGCTAGTAAGGTGTTAGTGAAGTTCGAGCTGTTCTAGAAATGGTATTTTTTATGCGGGAGTTTAATATTTTTTCCATGGAACGGACTTCGAATCCTGATGCGGATGACCAAGAGTAAGAAACTTTTATTTGTGGTGTAATTTCCCAAACATCAATCAAATTTTCAGCCAAATGCACGCAGCTTTTACAACCGCTTCCGTTCCCTGCTTATCGAAAGCCTTAAAAGAACTCGAATATCTTATTGTGCATAAGATACTTCTCGAAACAAACGATGATGGAAGAGGCTAAAAGTATGGAGCTTCCAGCCAGAGCAGCTTCTCCCACGCGCGCAGCCCCCGTGTTTGTAAGTTTGTTGGTTCTCTGACTCGTGTAGGTAGTCAGAGCAGGCAAACATACGCTCGGCGAAGCAACACAACCGACAACAGTTGATGCAAGTTTGTTTCGGTGTGCGGAGCAAGTTCACCGTGAATTTAGTTGTAACCTCAATTGCTTGTTTTTTTCGCATTATAACAACACAGGAATGTCGAAAAAGTTGTTGAAATTCCAAATTATCCTCGATAGGGATTCGGTGCTCTATCTGCCGGGTCAAGTGCTATCCGGGCGGGTGCTGCTGGAGACGCAAGAACACACAGCTGTTATGGGTGAGTGCGCTTCTCGGGACGTGCTGATTTTAGAAAATTGAAGGATGTGAAGCAGTATTCTTTTTCTTTTTAAATGGAATCCAAATAATTTGTTGAATTACATAATAAGGTGAAACGTTCAGTGATATTTAAATACCTTGCTATTAGTTTCGTGACAAATCGTAATCATTGTGTTGTGTCGATCATATATCAGTGTTACATAGTCATCGATCTCGAGCGATGACCTTGCAGTTCCCCTGGACGTAAAGCGGCCACTACCAGGGGAACGACACTTATTTGGATGCATTTTTTTTTAGTTTAGACTTCTCTGACGTTTATGAATTGCACAAGTATTAGTGCTGAACTTGGGGCATTTGACAAACGTCAAAGAAGTCTATAGTAATTATTTGAGATTTTCGGCGAAAAACATAATTGATTGTTTTAAAGCTTATCGGTATCTAAGGTAATTAATCGGTTTGATCGGTATTTACTATATTTTTGCCGTTTTTGAAAGCGACAATTTTAATGATGGTGACGACTTGAGGCGGGACTTGAGGGGAATTGCTTTGTTCGACGGCTTTCTCAGTCTTAAAACAATCTTTAATTTTTTATTTTTTTTCTTTTAAATTATCGTTGCCCTCAAGTGGTGATCAAAATTGTGACCAAGTAATTTTTTCAATTAAATATCATTAAATAACCAAAATCTGTAAAATCAGCCACAACAACGACTAAGCTTTTGACAATAACGACAAACAATGTTTTCCCTTGAAAAAGGCCACAACCGATGGCCGAAATGTCGGGCAGATTACATCGTAGTCGTTGTAGTGTTTTAAGACTGAGAAAACCGTTAATCAAAGAAAATTTTAGCTTTTGAACTATGATCGAAAAATTCCGAAGGAAAACTCCGGGGAATGTTTGAATTAGCCTCTGAACGAAGCTGAAAAAACATCCAGAGAAAGACGAAAGAAGCTCTCCTGGATGAAGTTCAAGGAAAATTCTAAAAAAGTTGGAAAAACATCCGGGAAACTTCCAAGACACAAACTAAGAAACTTGTGGCAAAAATATAAATAAACTATCAAAAAAAAAAATCGAATGTCACATGCAAAGGAAGCCCAGGAAATCAAAACTAAATTTCCAGAAGTAGCCATTTCCAAAAGAAGCTCGGAAAAACCATCCAATAAAATTCTATCAAAAAAACCTTTGGCTTATGGTCAAACTTACAGAAGAAGACGAAAGAAATTTCTGGGAGAATTAATTGAACTTCCTGGAGGCGCTGGCAGAATCTTCCTAAGGTAGATTGGAAGAAACATCTGACGGAAGTGGGAAGCCAGAGCGCTTACGGAACAGTCGAAATTAACAAGGACATAATTCATAAAACATCCCTGAAGACTGCGTAATTTCCCTGAAGTTTTCAGAACATTCCTGAAATGCACTTAGGAATAACCAGAATTCCTTCAAATTCCTTAAAAGTTCTTGTAATTTTCCTGAAACTAGGGGCTGGTTTGGTTCTCTGGTCATCCTTGAAGCGTTCAAAATTTCCTTGATTATAATGAGAATACCGAAATAACTCTAATCATCTTTGAAGGTCTCTGGATTTTATTGATGTTTACGAAATCTCTTTAGTGCTCTCACAATTTTCTTGAATTTAGTGTAACGTCAGCATTGCAGTTCTCTGATATTTTCGATTTTTTTTTTAATTTTTTTAAGGGATCAAAACTGCCATTAAAAAGCATAGAACTTCCCAAAAAATGTTCTTACATTGTTCTAATGTTCATGTAACTTCCCTTACGTTTCCTAAATTTACATGAGCATTGCTAAAGTTTCCGGAAATTGCCTCACTGAAATTAATTGATCTGTCCTGATGTTCTCTGAGCTCTACTAAAGTTTCTGAAAACCATTAAATTTCCCTGAAGTTCTTTGGACTTGCGAAGTTTCAAAAACACTTATGATGATTCCTTAAGTTCACTGGAGTTTGCTGGACTTTTCTGAAATTTCCGGGTTTTCGAATTTTAAAAGAAGCTAATGAAATTGTCTTTGATTTATCGAAACTTACACAAAATTCTGGACTTTTCTGTAGTTTCAGAACTTTTTAAATGTTCATGCAGCTAGTGTGGATCCGAAATAAAAATCTTATAGCATCCTTCAAGTTCCGGGAAAGTTGAAAAAACTGGCAGGAGGTGATGACAGAATCATTCGAGTGAAGGCTGAAGAAGCTTCCAAGGTCAGGTGGAAGAAAATACCAGGAAAAGTTGGATAAAACTTCAGGAAGTTTAAAAATGAATAAAAACTTCCGGAAGTTAAATAATGTTTAAACAAAATATTTCTCGATTTCCTAGGAATTACCGGAAAGAGCCATCGACTATTTCTCGATTGATGGGTAGCCAAAAACGGTGAGGAAATGCAAACATTAGTCGAAAGAGTATCAAGCATAAGGCATCTTTAGAGATGATTGTTTAGAATGTTGAAGGCTCAAGATCTATGAGGTATTCAAAAAGATACAAGTCTCTTACAAAAATTTTCTTCAAAATTCGAGTGCGGGCAGGCAATAATAATTTATAATCGATATAAAATCTCAAAAATCGGTATTCTGAGGAACCTTATCTAGTTCGGAAATCGGTATAAATACCGACAAATCGGCAACGCTGGTGAGGGGTGTTAAATATGTTCAGGGGGATATGGGGAAGAGGATAAGGTCGTGGCCAGGGTAGACGCGACACGCGAAACGACGTGATGCGACTCACGCAAGGAATAATAATAAATAATAAAATTCTCTTGAATTGGTCACGTCGCGAATCGCGTCTACCCTGGCCGCGGCCTAAGTGTAAAAAAGGTGAAAAATCTCGCGTCACTTTTTGTTCTAGTAGGGTGCAGACAAGGGAACTCTCGGATAACGGCAATTAATAAATCTTACTTAATCAACGAGTTCTTTATTTAGTCCGCTCAAGTACGCGTCGTCGATTCAACTGATTTCTACACTCTCATCAGAAACTCATCATATTTAAGTAAATGCAGAGGGGCGTGACACTTTGGGTAACCTTGAATTTATCACAACACCTTCCCTCTTTTGCAAAACAAACGCAACAGATTTAAGAAACAATAAAATCTCTATACTTAGCTGGCATTCTGATTTCTCTCTTCGGACGGCCCCGACTCATGGGTAAAGACAACATCTCTCCTGGAATAGAACTGACATTCACAACATCGGACGTCTTATCGGTGCACGGTTCAGCCTCTTCTACGTTACTGGTGTGAAATGGTTCATCGGTCAGAACGGCTGTCTCCGCTCTTGATGTTTGTGGAAGATCTACAGGCACTGTTGATGATTTGCTTGTTTCCACCATTGGAGATCCAATTGATGCAAAAGAAACTGCAGGTTCTTTGCGAGGCTTATTGTTTACAGCATCCCGACGATAATTGGTTCCGTCCAAATTAACTAAGTATGATCGATCACTAAGTTGATTACTGACGAATCCCGGAGACCAGACCTTAGATGATTGTGGCCGTGCTTGAACGTACACTGGCGATCCAATTTCTTAAGCTGGCATTTGACGTGAGTGCTTATCGTAATTGTACTTGATCTTTTGATGATTCTTCCTGATTGCTTCTGGAACGCCTTCAACGACTTTCTGCAATCGATTCGTTGCCGGAATTGGTATTCCACAACGGGTACTGCGTGAGAACAATCTGGATGCAGGACTAGTTCCGATATTGTTGGGTGTGTTTCTCCAAAGTTGTATTACGAACCAAAGATCCTGTCCTGGCTCATTCGCTGTACGGATAAGCTGTTTGGCGATTTTTACAGCGGCTTCCGCCTTACCGTTGGCCTGTTGGTGGTGTGGCGCAGACGTAGAATGTAGAAATCCCCATAGTTTTGCAAACTGAGTCATCTCCTCGTTTACAAAGTTAGTTTCATTATCGGTAACTACCAACTGAGGCGTCCCGTGACAAGCAAAGTTTCGCTTACACGCATCTATAACAGAAGCCGGTGTCAAGTCCTTTATCAGATCTAACTCGAAATAATCTGAATAGTGATCAACTGTCACTAAGAAATTTCGTTGCTTTCCTTTGTATGCTTGAAAGAAAACGTCCATTGACACCAATTGAAACGGGTAGATTGGTACGGCGTGGCTCTTCATCGGTGGGCTTTGCTGGGATGCTCCAAATTTGGCGCATATTGCACATTCTTGGACACGATCCTTAATCTGTCGACTCATTCCCGGCCAGAACACGTTGGTTCTAGCCAATCGCAATGTGGACTCAATGCCGGTGTGACTGGTGTGCAACTTTTCAATCAACGAACGATGAAGCTTTGCCGGGATAACGATTCGATCACCTCGAAAAACCAATCCACTTTGACGCTCATGACGATGTTTGTAGAAGGGTTTTACAGGAGCTGGAACTTGATCCACTTTTTCCGGCCATCCATGATTGATGTACAGCAGTATTGTTTGTAAGGCACTGTCGCTTACAGTGTACTCAATAATCTCATTAATGCGATCGTCCGAAATACTTAGATAACTGCTTAGATCGATGTTTTCTACTTCGCCGAAGACTCTGTATATGTTCATTTTCCTGTAGTCTTTCAAATCATTCTGTGTATTGCGAGATGGCATCAGCTAGAACGTTATCTTTACCGGATACAAACTGGAGCTGGACGTTGTACCTTTGCAGTTTTAGTAGCATGTGCTGCAACTGCTTCGGAGCCTTGAGAAGCGGTTTCTGGAAGACGTTTATTAGTGGTTTATGATCTGTCTTCACAACTACCCTCGGGTTTCCGATGATTATTCGATCAAACCGGATACAAGCGAATAGCACCGCTAGAAGTTCTTTCTATATCTGAGTGTAGTTTTTTTTTCCGTTTGTGTCAGTGTTCGCTATGCATAACCGATGATCCTGTTGTCCTGGCATACTGCTTCTCCGAGCCCGAAAGAACTAGCATCACACTCAATCCAAAGGGGTTCCTTCACATCGTAATACTGAAGGGTTTTGACGTCGGACACCATTGCCTTGATCTTGTCGAA